GTGAGCATGAACTTTGTGACTAATAATCTTTTAATCTTCTGCCCATAATATATGTCACTCCATAATGTCACATCTTAAGAGTTTTCAGAAAGATCCCACATAGAGTATAGACAAATCAAAGATCCTTTCACTTGACTGAGCTTAGGGATTTAACAGCATACTATAGAATTTCATAAACTAATTATGTTGATTTTATTAGTGCGGGTACTTCAACCTTGAACAGGATTAGTTCAATTAGCTCAATTTTATCAAAAATGGTTGACTTTTCTGTTTACTTCCACTAGTTCAGTCAGCATGAATTTTGGAATGTTTAATTTATAGAGTTCCAGAGATATAACCATGTTAGTTTGTCGCAGGAAGAACCATGAAGTGTTTTGCATCACCTTAAATATCAGAATATGGCAAAATAACAATTAGAGTGGACCATGAAAGCTTACTGCATAATAAAAGTTTTGGTATGTGACATGTTAGTAGATTCTTTGTTAAGACGCTATGTTAATCCCATTTTGGTGTGAAATAGGGAATTCTTTACCCAGTAATTGTCAAGATCATTGGAAACAACTGAAACATGTAGGTTCTGTGCAACAGTCTCCATCAGAAGAGAAAAATGGCATATAAATATAAATACATATAATAAATAATAAGGGGAGGGGGTATATGTAAGACAATAATACAGTATGCCCTTGGTATCCACCAGGGTTCCCTTCCAGAGTCCTTCCAAAATCTTTGGAAGCTCAAGTTCTATTCAGTACAATGGTGTAGTAAAATGGTGTCCCTTATATAAAATAGTATCATCATATTTTAACTTGCTGTTCATACAATGAGACAAGGATTGGCTGCAAAAGGGAATCCACATGGTTACTACCAACAACTCCACCACCAACACAGAACTAAGAGATGACTGAATACATGACATGACTTATTAGTAATTAGTTCCTTCTCCCAAAAATGTAGGCATACTTCAGTTACATTTTTTTACTTCACAATTATCCACTGTTGCTTTCTTCTTGTGGCTGTGGAACACATGAGAATATGCCTGAAGAAGAGTATTTTTCTCTGGGTGTGTGAAAGAGGATTGCTAGCACACAGAAAGCATGGGTCTTCGGTGCTTCCTTTATTTGCTACCTATGTTTACTCTTGAGCAATTCGACCCTTTTCTACTTTTGAGCAAATATGCATAAGCCAGTTTGGCACTGTCCTGCTTTTCACCATTTCACCAGAGGATAGTAGCCCTGCAGAAGTTATTTTGGCAATACTTTATTGGCACCCTTTTCTATATAGTTTTTGCCTTTTTAAATAAAATACATGTTTGCAAATATATAGGTCTGTAGATAAAGGATTATAATTCTCCAGTGAATATATTGTATTTCTTCCATTCTAACATGCCATCAATTATGAGAAACACACACACAGCACCTGCAATTCTAAGATGCACCCCATTTTTAGAGATTTTTATTTGGAGGGAAACGCAGCTCTTACAGTATATTTTGTTATTCTGTCTTGTGTTTGTATTCATTTTGAATGTTAGGATAGTCAGATGTGTTTTGCATTGTACCACAGGCTTGCAGTCTTCTGACTTTAAAAAAGGTAACTATAAATAAACTATTTCAGGTGCTTTTGTGAAATGGGAAAGTAAAAGTTACATTTTAAAATGATAGCTATTATGGCAACTACACACTTTTTCTAGGCATTGGTACACTAAGTGCACCAACTAATTGCTTTTTAAAGTAGATTTCTCAGCTCTGGGCACATCTGAAACAACGTTTTCTATGTAAAGAAACACAAATTGCTGGCAATGAATTCAGCACCTCATTCTGTCACTGTGACTCTTAAGAGTGAGAGATTCTTCAAGATTGAGGCCCAAGTATTTATTATTCTCTGCATATAGTTAAGCTTTAGGCAAAGACTTAACTATAACTCTTGGAGTTCTTCAACCATTTTAATGTTTATCCTTTTTCTTAAGTTGCATTTACTGCTTTGCAGTTAATGAATATTGCATGCAGCCCAGGGTTTCTGATAGTTAAAACTGACTTTTGTAAGGGACAATTAACACCAGCTTATGAATGTTTCATGATGCTGATATTAAATATATGGAGGATCGTGAATGTTAATGAAGTTTTTACAGGTGCTGCTACTCTTGTTTGTACCACAGGGAAGGAAATATCTCAGTACAGTAAAAAATTTATCCCTTTACATTTTGTCTGTCTTTAAAGGTTTATAGGGATACAATCTGGATCCTTTTAAAGGCAGACTGAAAGACCAAAAAATAATTTCTCGCACATAGCCGCAAGCAACTCAGCAACACTCTGATGGTGCATATGAGCAATGCAGATGAATGTTACATCTCTGTCTTCTTCTTCTTGTTTTTTTAACTATTTTTTATTTTAAATTATGCCCATTTTCTTTTTAAAATGAGATTAGACTTTCTTTGGTATGAGACTGAGAATAGCAGAAGGGCTGGCTAAGTACAGCATCTGTAACAATAAACAGTACTTTTATGCTTCTGCAAGTCGAAACAGGAAATAAATCCTCTATGTTAATAGGTATAATGCAACACTAATATATATTCGCTACTATCAAGCTTTTTTATATAGTACTGCAGAAAACCTCCTGTTTACCTAAATCTTTAAATCTTTAATTGCAAGAATTTTCTTGTGGCAGTAATGGCAAAGATGACGGTTTTCAAAGAGATGAATAGCCAATTTTACGAATGCTTCATTTTTTCATCGTGAATTTGTATGGTCTTTACAGATTATCTCTACCCCCAATTTAGCTTTTTCTCTATGAAAATAGTTTTTAGTTAATAAGTTTTTGGGCTCAAATCCCCCTCAAAAAATCTTTGAAACCTGTAATAGAGGTTTCGGGGAATCTAACATGCATAGGGAAACAATGCACATTTTGTTTTAATTGCATGCCTTTCTAATTTGAGCAGATTTCTTAGGTATAGGTACAACTTTCCCCTGACATTAAGTCTAGTCATGTCTGACTCTGGGGTGGTGGTGCTCATCTTCATTTCTAGGTCGAAGAGCTGGAATTGTCAATAGACACCTCCAACGTCATGTGGCCAGCTTGATTGCTTAAAGCGCCGTTGCCTTCCTGCAGAAGCGGTACCTATTGACCTACTCACCTTTGCATGTTTGCGATCTGCTAGGTTGGCAGATTTTTTTCTTAACACTTTAAAATTGAGGATTCATCATATGAATTTGAAATTCATATAGAAATATAATTATCTCAAACTTTCAAAGTATTGCCCAAGTTTTAATTGGTAGTGCTAGTGATGATGTTATTTGTCTTCACATCAGCCTCAACTTTTAATGACCGTATGGATGAGAGACCACCAAGAGTACCAAAATTTAATAGAGGGCTACAATATGGCCAGTATAAAGAAACTGAATGGGGTGGCAGTATTTCAAGCTTGAAATATCTACTATGGTGTTTTTTTTTTGTTTTTTAAAATAACTAAAGTCATTCAATGGCAACTACTGCAAAATACATACACTTGAAATTAAAGAATGATGAATCCTGGAATTTATTGTATAAATGTAAAAAGGGAATGGAGTTCACTGGCTTCTTACACAAAACATCTACTCCCACATTACCATAACAAAGTAGTCATCAATTATAAATAGCATGCTTAAAATATATTTACCAGCATATAAGAAGACTGGGCATATAAGATGACCCCCAACTTTTCCAGTTAAAATATAGAGTTAAGATGACTCCCGTGGATAAGACTACACCCATGTATAAGACTGACTTTTGAGAAGATTTTCTTGGGTTAAAAAGTAGCCTTATACGCCAAAATATACTGTAGTTCAGGCCAACATTTCAAAGAAAATTTATCTACAAGTCAATTATCCCATCTAGGTTCTTTATTTGCCTCCATTGGTACTTTTCGAGTAACCAGGATGCTCATGAAGTTTCTCTTATTTGGAAACTTCCATCAGCCAATGACTGATATTTACACATCATGATTATTTAAACCTATAGCAGAAGTATTGAGTAGAAATGACTCAAAGCAGGGCAAGCACCACATGTGCCTACAAATGTTTCTGGACTATAATCCTTGTCATTCTTCATCTCTTTACACTGGATATAGCTTAATTTACAATTAAAAGTAACCTATTTCAGCTTTTTTGGTTTTAAAAGATCTTTGATTCTTGACTTTGACACTTACCCAGAAATATGAAAATTGCCTCACGTGAAACTGTATTTGATTTTAAAAAGATTAAAATAAACATGATCTCTGTTATCATAATATTCTACTTCAAAACAGGGAACTTCCACATGTTTTAGAACAGTGCTACTTAAAAGTGGTGGTCCATGGACTGGTACCAGTTCATGAGCCATTGGCCGCTGGCTCCTGACAAGGAAAGAAAGAAACAATTGAAACTAATGGGCATAAATATGGCAACAGATGCTGGTGCAGCAGGAAAAAAAATGCCATTCTGCTGTCAGATAGATTGAGATGCATTGTTTTAGATAACTAAATGACCTAATCATAAAACTCTGGCAAAGTGTCCCGCTTTGCTGGGCTTCTGGGAAGGAAAGAAGGAGCTGCAGGGTGAATCTATCACTCTATGTGCAGCTCTCTCTCAGCCACACTTTCCCCTTACTATGGTGAAAGTGTCACCATAGTAAGGAGGCTCTGTTGCTGGGGAAGTGTTTGGTGATGCTTTCACCCCAGTTGTGGGCAGGGTTTCCACCAGAAGCTCCCTTGCATCATCTGACGGGAAGGGAGCCCATCAGTTCTCCAGATGGGGTGGAAGTGTCCTAGGATGCTAAAATCACCCCATCAGATGTTTTCCATATTCCATATTCCTTATTCCTTTATCATTGCCCATGTCAGTTGGGTTCCAAGGGGGTATTACAAATTAATTTGAAGTAGGTTGGGTTGAATATTCAAATCTTCATTTATTTGGGACTTGAGGTTTTTTTTTCCCACAAAGAACCTGAAGAAAAATAGTGCAAGTTGAGCAGCATAAGAGCACATGACTTACGACAATTGACTTCGTCTTCACTGAACCTGCAGTCAGTCACACCATCACATCTCAAGAGTGATGGGATACACGACTGGTTTGCACACATGAATTCTGTTTCCTTGCAAAGGCTTGGAGAACCTGTGTTAGGATTTTTTGTAGGACATGCCATTTCATCACTCCCATCACCACAATCTTCTACCAGGTTGCATTTTGAAGAAAGGGGCACACACTGCTTAACATATGTGCAAGCGAACTGGTCACTGCTACAGGTTGGAGGTTGTGATGTAATTGGTCCTAGAAGGATACAACAAGGAGATAATTTCAGTATAGCAATTCCATTACCAACCAAAGAAACGTCCTTACCATATCATTTGATGTGCCCCTTTTTGGTATTGCTTTTAGAAAGCTTTAGGAAACTCTTCAGCTGAAGTCTTACAGTGCTATAAACATTAACCTCCAAGTCTTTAGACTATCCGTATTGTTCAGTACTGATATTTGGTGCTAGGGGATGGTTCTACAGGTAACATGAACTACCAGAAACATAAATAAATGGGTCTCAGAGCAAATTAAGCCTCAACTCTCTTTAGAAGCCAGCATGGTGAAATTGAAGCTATCATGCTTTGGACATATAATAACACATAATTTGACATGACTTCCTAAAGAAACAATAATGCTGTGTAAAGTAGAAGGCAGTCTTCCTACTTAACTTAATGAGTTATGACTAATTAACCCATTCATTTTCCAGTGCTGTTCTGTAACATACATTAGTGGTATTATTATTAAAGAAGAGGATGTTCTTTATAGCTGAATCCTCTCAGAAGCAAGACCTTTGACCTTCAGTTGGGTTTGTTTCAGGTGATGGTATGGGACTGCAGCCTAAATTCACTTGATAGTCACAGCAAGTCAATGTGTCATTCCTTTCTTCTGGGGAAGACAGGAAAGAGAGACTCATTACTTTGACTAATGAAAGTACTTAAATCTTTGGCAGAATTAGGGCCAAATTATTTATGCTTTTTTGACATTCTACACTTTAGAAGAGGAATTTAACTGGGGTCAGCTTACATAGAGATGAAGTCTATGATTCAAACCTTATTTCCAAACCTTATTGGAATCATTTTCTCCCTTCAGGACAAAATCAATTACCACATCAAAATAAATGTGTTTAGGATTGAGAGGCCAATTTAAATAAGGGCAAAAAGGCAGTGGTCCTAAAGGCACAGACAGAAAAACATTTGATAGCTGGTCAAATCCCCCCCATCATTAATTTGGTCTAAATCTAAACCCTTAGAAATCAGTAGCAATATTCTAGGCTTACAGAATACTTGAGACTTCTTTTCAGATAAAGTGGTCTTGAGTTGTCAGCTAGTAAACAATTAACAGAATAAAGTCTCATTTTTATTGCTTGCACTTCTCATTATTGTATTTCATTAACATTAATGATTCAGTAGTTCCTGTAACATTAAATTTTGGGTTGAATTTGTTATACCTTTTAGGCTGACCCAGATATGTGCCTTAGTATAATTTGGTTTTATGAACACAAAGGATGGAATAAACATTTATCTCTAATACAAATGAAACATTTCAGTTTAGACAATATTAGGACAATAACATGTTTCATTGCAAGGCATGAATGAGGTTGTCAGTTCATTTATTAGAATTCAGTCCCAAAAAGCGAGGCAATAAATATTTCCTTCTTTCCTTCCTTTCTAATTACACCTCTGCAAATCATTACCTTTATTCGATAATGAACACCTCAGGTTTCTTTCAGGATCAGAATTTTCCATTCTAGGACAGGTATTTAGTGTGGTATGGTGATCAATTTGCCATTCTTTAATGCAGAAAATAGCTCAGCGCTTAGGGAAGATGCAATAAAATTCTCTGCATTATGAAATGGCAAACTGGCAGGGATAGCTTTCTTTTGAAAGAGCTGCAATACCGTTTTACAAATTACATTTTGCATAATCTTTCTTCCAAGAACCTCAGGAGAAAATAGTGCTTTCCCTTCTATTTTATCCTCATGAAAACTGAAAGGAGAAGTCAATCTAGAAAAAATCACTGGCCTAAGATGAATTTTTGCCAGTAATATGCATTTTAAACTTGGCTTTCAGAACACTTTTATCATTTGATTTCCTCCATAGTTTCCAATAGATGATTAGGCTTTGCATTTAGACAACATTAACCACAATCTAGCCATAGTGGGAATACTAAACAATGGAAATTAAACACAGTATGTTTGAATTAGACAGAGGACATTTAGAAGGAAAGTGACATTACTTTAATAACATCTACATTAAAAGTATATCAGGGGGGGGGGGGCAAAAGGGGAGAACTGAGAAAGAAGCTGGATTAAATCCCTGTCCATGACTTCAGCCATAAAACAATGTATATTAACCCAATTAAAAATGTCAGCCCAACCACCTCAAAAAAAGACTCATACCCCAAACATGACCCACACTCTCCCAGTATGAATATAATACTTGTAGATGCCTAATATGGAGGGGGGGGGATGTATAGATGACTACAATATCCTTAAGTGAGCCCAAAAAGGCTCCATCCAAGCAGTGTCAACAAAAATGGTAAAATGGCTACCGTAACTGGAGGATGGTATGATTGTTACTTTTTAGGTTCAAACCATGTTGCCCAAAAGAAGAGGGCACAAAGTCCTCAAGCTGCAAAACTGTATGGATGGGATAGAGAAAAGAAATGGAGGGGCCTCTCTCCAACCATTTTTTCTCTTTCTTCCTTTTCCTCTCTTATTCTACAGGCTTCTACAAAAGGAAGAATCCCTCTTTGTGCCTCTTCTCTCCCTCCTATTTTAATTGATGTCTCTTGTGTTCTTCCAGGGAGTGGAAAGCTCTAGGTAAGGCAGGTGACAATGGAGCGAACCACATAGCAGATGAAAACAATGTCTCTGACTACATTTACTCAAGTGTAGTGCATCTCAATTTTGGCTAAGCAATTTAGCCCAAAAATGTGTATATTACACTCAAGCAAACACAATATATTGTTTCTTTGAAAATGCCCTTAAACTTACATTTTCTTGGGAAAATTGGTACTTTGGATTCTGTACTATTAATACAATGTCACATAAGGAATATCAACACCTTGGTTCCAGTTTCTGGTTGGTATGTCTCATAAATGTCATTGCATTCTTAAGCTTCTTCTGATAATGCCTAGGAAATATTACATATTAACTAGAGGGCAAAACAGAGCTTTGACAATAATCAAAACACTTGAACATTTATTGAAAAAATCTGAATTTTCAATAGATTTAAAATGCTATTCCTGAAGGGCTTGTGAGAACAGAAAAATATAGAAAATGATCTCAATGGAGTCGTTTTCTTGTAGTGTCATATAATCCTCAAATAATAGGCTATGCTCGAAGCACATCAGGCATCAGAGCAGTTTCATAAGTCTTTGGACAATGGTATATATTAGAAATATTTTATAGAGAGTTTGATGTTATGTTTCAGAAAAAAAGGAATAAACAATGGAAATTATATTGCATGGACTTCTTTTTCTACCTTTTAACAAGATATTATGAAGAATTATACTGGAAGTACAAATGCAAAAATATCTACTTGGACTTTTGGAATTGGAGGCAACCAGTGGTAAGTTGAACTCCTCATTGGCAGGTTTCTCTGACAATGTATGCCTTCCCTGGGACCCAAAGCAATGAAGTCATGATCGAGGTTGGCATGCTATTGAAGACTAAGCTGACCCTAAGTGCCTTATCAACACTGGTAAATTACACCCTGTTAAACATAACCCTCCAGGTTAACAACAGATAGCTGAGTGTTTGCTAAAGAAGACATTCCTATCTGTGCTTAGTAGAGCCCAATGACTTCTCATTATTGCTGGGAATCATTTCTAGGCAAACTTCCAAGAACAGTAATCCTCTATAGAGGAAGAAAATATAATGTTACAGTATAATCCAATGCACTTTCTCCTTTCAACATGTTATCTGTTTTTAATGGACCCCCAAAAGTGACTGCAGTCATGTGATTATTGTCCCTATGTCATGGTTTCATTTTATTTGTGTTTTCATCTATGTACTCAAAGAATGCCCACATCCAAATGTAATAACATTGATAAAGAAGATGATGGAGATAATCCACCTCCACCACCTTCATTGAAACTGAAGAAGTATTTTTGAGTGTTTAAAGCAGTGGACAAAATTTCTCTGCCCAAGATATGAACTGGAGTTGGGAAGCTTAATTATCATTCCATACAGAAGTCTTATTCTGAGACACATGTTGTTTAGCAATCAATGGGATTTGAATGCTTCCTTATTCTCCATGCAAATAGTTCTCTTTCTCTACCCATACACATTCTCACATGCTAGGCCAGAAAAACAATGGGCAAGACAACTTTTCTCACAATCTTGACAGATTGGGTGTTATTTCAACAATCCTTACAGTACTTCCACCACACAATGGATGGCAGCATTTTGGTTATATGAGAGCAGGCAAAAGAGTCCGAAACTGAATGAATACTACTGAAGATTCAYCTCACTGAGGATGAGATGAATTTTGAACCAGTGATTTCTCAACTTATTCTCATTGTTCTGTATGTTCAAGTAATTTCTGACTTGTGGCAACCCCACAGTGAATGTATCATCGGGGGGGGGGGGGGRTTTGTTTAGAGGRAGCTTGCCATTGGYTTCCTCTGATGCCAGGAGAATACGTCTACTAGACAAGGTCACCCGCAAGGTTTTCACAGCCCAACAGAGATTTGAACCTTGTTTTCCAGTGTCCTAGTCCAAAACTGAAACCACTATATAACATTGGATATTCTCATAGATACTATGATAGCATAAGAAAAGAAAAGCTAATTAACATTTTGCAAGTATTTGGTGAAACCTCATAGGTATACATACAGGCAGTTCCAAGTTTTGAATAAATATAATTCAGGCCTGCATTTTGTCACTTCTGTTTTCAGTTAAGATGATGTGGAGAAGACCTTCTCAAACCTTTTAAGCAGATGGCCAGTTTACAATCCTCCAGACTTTTGGGGGGGGGGGCAGACTACAGTTTTGGAACAGCATGGCCCGATTCCTATGCACACTGCATATATCTTATTTGTAGTGTGGAAAAATATATATGAAAGAACAATACAATATTTAAAATGAAGAACAATTTTAGCCAACATAAACTTATCAGTATTTCTGTGGAAAGTGTGGGCCCTGCATTTGGCTGATGAGACAGTCAAGTTAATTAAGGTTGTTATTATTGTATACCTTCAGGTCATTTCAGACTTAGGGCATCCCTAAGTCTAAAGTTTAGGGCAGGCGC